TACTACTTATGTATTTGATATAGATTTAGTCTATACGGTGGTGCATTTTTAAATGCCATACATGAAATGAAACACAAAAGATACCACCGACTGATAACGTTTTTCCTTCTTTTGAACTTTGACAGCAGGTAGTCTTCAATGCTGATGATGTCAACATCTCAGTTAAAGAGGTACGTTTGTGCTTCTGAAAACATTGAGACATATTTTAATGGTGAATAAAGGATTTAGTGTGATGACAATGTCCATGTCTCTCTCTCTCTCTCTCTGGCTCGGTCTCAGTGTATCGAAGGTGTGATTGGTGGAACAGATTACAACCAGAGTAAAGTGAACCAGTGGACGGCCGGTATAGTTGAGCACTCTCTGACTCATCTGGTGAAGCAAGGACGTCCGTTCAAATACATAGGTGAACCAACTGGCCTTCGTGAACAGTGACCTGAGACCTCAGGACGCAACATTGACATGTGACACGTTTCTGACTGAGTTAAGACTGCTGTCTGATGTTTTGCAGTAAACTGTACCATCATGCAGAAGAGTGGCGCCGGTCTCCACACAGCCAACTCCTGCTACTGGGACACTGCCACTGATGGTGAGAGATGATTCATAATTACAGCCGGAGCGCTTTTGCAATTTGGTTTGGGTTTCACTGCAGTTACCAAAAGAAATTCTTTATTTCACTGCGATAATGTGAAGAGAACGTGCTGATCATCTGTACAGTTACCCCAATGGTAATGCATGCTTTAGGTGATTCAGAAATTGTATAGTTATTAATCAAAATTGTCAAACGGTACTGCCACTACTTTGCGATTTCTCCTGCTTGTTTGTGTCTTACAGGAAGCTGCACAGTCAGGTGGGAGAATCGCACCATGTACTGTGTGGTCGGTGTGTTCGCTGTGGCGCTGTGAGCTGTCATGTCTGATGCTTGAAACGTCAGCGTGACCATGAAGCCATTGAGTTCCTCAGATGTTTCCCTCTGAATAGACACATAACTTTTTCCCCCCACAGGGTTAAATAACATAACGGCAGAAAAAGGTTTGAGAAAATATTGCCTTGGAACGACCAAGAAAGGATTTTCAACCTGGACGCAGCTGTGTTGACTATTAAGATCTAGATGGATGCTAGTAATGTGAAACTCGATTCTTTTTAAGCCGTGCTAGCAGCAAGGCTCTTGGGATGACTGTGAAGTTTACCAACAACTATGTGATAGATTGCCCTGAAGTTTTCTACCCATATTCAAGCCTCCGTTGTAATTAGTTTTGGGATGCATTATTTTGCTTTGTCAGCAAATACCTGCAGGACTAAAAACATTATATTTAAAGCTAATAAACTCAAAAGTTGACGCTAAGATGGTGAACATGGTAAAATGTATACCTGCTGAACGTCAACGTGTTTAGCTGTGGGTGCTGCCTCTGCTAGCATGGCTAAGGACTGTCAGTTGTCTTAGTTAATTTATTTAAGTAATTCCTAAATGTTAGTGTCTCTTTTAGTCTGAGTTTGTGCTTTATGGATCAGTCTGTAACTGTGGATATGAGATATCTATTTCCAGGGATGATGGAGTTCATTGGTCAGAAGGATAAATGCACTTTTTCTAGACATTTTCTGTAGAAATCCTTGATTTCTTCATTAAAACGTGGTTCATGAACGCTGTTTAAAGAAGTTTATTGGAACGACTCCAGTGTGGTCCTTGTGTTCACAGCCCGCTTTTTTGGTATCTTAGTGTTATCTTCGTATAAGAATGTGATTTGAATTTCAGTTAATAAAAACTTTCAGTTTGAGAGTTTGTCCACTCGATCTCCATACGAGGCAAAGCGTGCTGAAACGGCTTCTTGGCTTTAATAGAAAAATGTGACAATTTCCACATATAAATATAAATTTATTTTTAAGTAGGATTATAAGCCTTTTCATTTTTGCTCTGTATGGGAATGTCCAATTTCTGCAATACATTTCTTTTTTTGGCTCATCTTAAACGATAATTTGATACATGAGGCAGTCATCATTCTGCAGGTACATGGCGAAAAGGAGTAAGTGCAAAAACAAACACTGACATTCTCTCTCATACACAATTATACATTAAAGGTTGAAAAAGCAAAAATGCCATCAAAAATATCTTACAGATGCTAAGATAATACATTTTAGTGTGCACTTGGTGTAAATATTCTATACTAGTGAGACACAGATTTAGAGCCAACTTACATTGGCTCTAATTACAAAAATGCAAATACATCTAAAAGCATTTCACATCACTGCAACTGTTGCTCAGCAGTTAAAACAAAGCCACTTAAATCCCTTTTGTAAACGTGCAAAAACATTACGCCTGGAGAAGGTCGTACTTTACAATTAATGTGTTTGGTGATCAAACAGGCTCTTTAAATAATGTGTGGAGATTCACATCTCGTCACCAATCCCAAACACATCACAGAAGCAGCGCGTATCAATGATAAAGCTGTGATCCAGGAGTAAAAAAGCTGATCGCTTGCAGCCATAAAACTACACGGAGCATCAGAACACTCCCCACTCTCCCGCCCTCCGTACAAAACAGATCCTCCCTCCTGCAGAAGTTCATCTGAGGCTCGACACATGCACGCCTCCATGCCAAACACAGATATCAAATACAATCAATTGAAATGCACGGCGCCCTGTGGTCAGTAATGCAGCATAGAAGTAGACACACTAAAAACAATAGAAGTAATTGCTGGGTCCGTGACTTTATTTGTAAGCCTGTCAAGGGGCTTGTTTTTATTTTGTGTTCACTGATGTAGGACGTCTCTGGAGGAGAACAGAGGTGAGATGGACATGTGAATCGGTGGCGGAGGGGTTCGTGTGGCACTTGGAGGGTTAAAGCGCGTGTGATCAGACTGTCCGTCTCTCCTCTGGGCGGCACGTCCGACAGGCGCTTTACGCATTGCAGGATACACTGTGGTTGACGTCGCCGTTGATTCCACCACATATATTATTGCCCACTTCATTAGCATTCTCACAGATTGTATCACTGAGCATGTCGTACGACGTTTCATTAGGCACGTCGTCTGCGCTGTCGCTGGCCGAGTCCAGGGCCTCGTCGTTAGGCGGCCCCGCGCTCTTAGCGGGACGGGGCGCGTCTCCCAGCGGCCTGTTCTGTGGGGAAGCAGAATTGCACATGAGACAGAGGAGAGACGAGCAGTTCCAAAGGCCCTGGGTCATGCTGGAAGAGAAGAGCCTCCGACACGGATGGCAAAACTGGTAGAAGACCAGCATGAAGAAGATGGCGATGGCGTAGGCGACCAGCAGCTGCAGCACCAGCAGCGGCGCACAGAAGAACTTGTAGAAGTCGGTTTTGTAGATGTACCACAGCAGGAGCAGCGAGGCGTTCTCCACAAAGCGCATCATGTAGTACACGGCCATGCGATACCAGTTCTGGGACTTGTTGATGAGGTCCGGGTCGTTGAGTTTCACCTGCACGGCTGACCAGCAGAACATGTTGATGCCGGCGTAGAGGAAGGTGAGCAGGCAAAGCACGATGGTGGTCCCCACCCTGGTCAAGGTCTTTTCTATGTTCTCGGGGAAGGGCGAGTGGCTCTGCCAGAACAGGATCCACGGGTACAGGAAGAAAACCAGGAAGTTGAGCAGAACCACAGGCAGGACCCAGAGCTGCAGCACAGAGCTGAACAGAACCAGAACCACCACGCGAGTGGCGATCTCAAAGCTCCTCCACAGGAAAATGCACACGTAAGCCATGGGGCGCACGTCCACTTCATAGTCGTCGTATTTGATCTTAATGGCCAGGATGTTGCAGCGCAGCGCCCCCGTACACAATAGACAGGAGGGAGATCACCATCAGAGTGCCTGACATTGTAAAAGAGAGATAGATAAGTGAGGTAAGCGTGTCCTCCAAAATTCATTTGGGTTCATCTTTTCCCAAAAGAAACATTTTTTGGTCTTTGTTAAGATTATAAAATGTTGGTATCATGCATGTTTTCTGTCCTGAAAGTATATAAGACAATATTACAGTGTATGGTGTCTATGTGATCTACAGACTGAATGAAAGCCCCACATCACCACATTAAAGGAGCTTTCTTTTTTGTTCATTAGTGCACAGCAGTGGAGGCATCATAAAAGATGGGATTTGCTTCTAAGAAGACTTCAGATAAACTTGACTGTGGATTTTTCCCCTTATCCCCTCCATTGAAATGGCCTAAATATATATTTTAATTGCCATTACATAGAGGGAATTGATGATTGTACTGACGGTAAAGCCCTCCTTTAAAAAGGCCCTGAGGCTCCCTTTCATCACAATCAGACTGTTAAATCGCTAAGCGTGAAATAGAAGTGTCAGACGGTCCGGAGCAGAAGAAAAGATTTATGCATCCAAAACATCATTTGTCCTAACTTGAAGACCAGATGCCTCGGTTTGCCCTTGTGTGAAACTTCTATAAATCTCTCTCAGAAATAGAACAACTGGCTCGCTCAAAGCGTTGGACAGCCAGGTGTGCACCTACTGGCGGAGAGAATCACCATTTTCCCTCCTGTGAATCAGAGAGGTGGTTATATAACATCACTTTGACTCATGAAAACACCATCCTCTTATTTCCAATATGGCTCTTAGCTGATCGGCCCACACCGCGGTGGAGCTGTGTACTGGCAAGAGGGGGGGGGGGGATTAAGGGGACATGTGACATAAATCAAACCCACTTAAATTCCTCCTCCTCACCTCGTCCGACGGAGACCCCCTGCTGCAGGACGCAGATGTAGAGCTGTAGGGTGAGCTGGGGGGCCGATCCCAGGAAGGCCTGAATTACCGAGGTGCGGGCGAAGGCGGCTCGGTGTGTAAACAGTTTCCCCTCCGCCTGCCCCACCTGCCGCTCCACCTCCTCCGACTGTCCGCGGCGAGGCATCTGCTTCTTCCTGATGATGCTGACGTAGGGCTCCTCCACACGGCCCACACTGCCATAGATGCAGAACGCCTCCAGACACCTGCAGGAGCAAAGCAGCATGAAAACAGCAGCAGCGCTGGTTAGATCACATGTAACGTTTTACAAAACGGAGCGAAATGTTGATAGATCGAGATCAAATAAAGACAGAAAACCAGATTCACGCTTATTGAAAACGTTTCCTGACATTTCAGCACAGTGTGAGGAATGCTGTTTTTCTGAAGGTTCTCATAATACTCAGGATCTTTTTTCTGATCCCCCACTGATCATTTTCAGCATGCCGACCTCACTGAGTGTGCACATTATTAATATTGGAAAGGAAAACATACCTAAAGTGCAGCTTTGACCAGGTTGGTTCTGAAGGACAAATATGTATTGTTTTATCCAGTGCAGCAAATAAGCTCAATATTAAGTGTATTTAATATTTTTGTGTTTTAGTGAATTACATTTCCATTACAATTGCAGAGCACATCTTTAAAATTGTCTGTTCGTTTAAAACCACGGTGCAAATCCAAACACACATTTGCAGCTGTCCTACAATCAATGAAAGGATTGACCTCAACCCAACTCTCAGGTCTTGAAACGTGATCTATTTGAACACTAAAAAGCTACAATAAAAGGTTCATATAAAGCCATTGTTTCAACACTCGCACAGTTAGGCCAGGAATCATTTTTGTTTATGTGGCAACAATACCTTTTGCTGCGTGTACACGAGCATTGAGCAGCCTGTTCATTCGAATGTCCAGACAGCTGTTGTGCAGCTGCGTGCAGGTGGAGACTAGGTCGAGGCTGCAACTGGTGCACAGCACCACTTTAACACCGAGCCAGGAGGATTTAATCCACAGGGGTGCTGAGGGTCAGACGGTTTATCGGCTGGAGCGGCACGCACCACAGACTCATTAAAATACAGATAAATAAATAAGAGTGGAAAGGTTGAGTCTGTCGGTGTCTCTTTCAGATTGCAGAAAACAAGTGACCTAAGTCTCATCGACGGATGAAGAGACGAATATCAGTTCCAAACATCACTGATCTTCATCCTCTTTTCAGTGAAAAGAGGAAGTGCAGACAGATTTTGACAAAATAATGTTTATGTGGCGGTGCCTCGTGGAACCAGACCAATCAGTCTCTCCTCTTCCTGACAATTAGAAGCACAATAACTTCCTGTCGTTTTCATCAACAGCGGCAACTATCTTTAGCTTCCAGATTCCAGGTGAGCAGAGAGAAAATCTGTTCTTTTAGTAGATTAAACTGAAACAAGCTTCTGTTATCAAAGTCTGCACATATTATGTTGTATTGATTCCTCCAGGAGAAGGAACCATAAGAAAACGACCGTTTTCAGGGGGGGGGGATTTTCAACGTTACAAAAGCTGCAGGAAAAAAAAGCCTCAGTACACAGACCTTAAGTCAAGTTTGTTTAGTGAAACTCCAGCAATGCATTTTTAACCCTTGAGAGACCGATGAAGTCAACTTAGGTTGACTTTTCTGAAAGACAAAATGATGCATCCTCCTCTTATGAAGTTAATACGTTTTTTAAGATAAGAAGCTGATAAGAAAGAAAGAAAACAAGTTTTCCGCCCTGAAAGCGGTCTTGTTGCAGTTATGATGCAAATAAATGAGCTGATTGTTAGTGATATTTGAAGAGTTGCTTGTTGAGGAAGTTGGCAGCAGAGACAGACGTTTCCCTCCCTGGTTATGTTGTCAGAGATAAGGAGCCGCAGCCACTGTGTGCTATTCTTAGATATGCTCTTCACTGAGGAAAGATGTAAAAGTCTGAACAGTAATCATCCGAAGCCACTCGAGGGGAAACAGGCCGGCCGGGGTCACATCCACAGAGGCCTCGGCTGGGGCGTCAACGTGTTTGCTCAACTGGTCGACCAGAGAAAACCATGAAATATGGATGTTTCTGTGACGTGGTGAATATAGCCCCCTCTTTAAGTCGGTGTTTATCCTCAAGCTGAAGGCTAGCTGAATGCTGAGGAGCCAGAATGAGACTAAGGGACAATAAACTAGCAAACAAGTCTTTCTGTCAGTAACGTCAATTTAACTGAATAATTTAGATAAGAATCCACCATTTAATGTCTATCTATATCATGTCTAAAAATAGTAAAACAAATTAGCTGAAGCTTAATTGTATACATTAAAACAGTAGGTTTTGTCCACAAAACGTTGAACTGAAGAGTTTTCAGGTGTTCATTGATTTTGATTTGAGAGATACAGTGACAGCGTCCGTCAAGTCCAAGATAAGTGCATTTCTTAAGATGTTTTTATCAACCTAGCCTCTTTTATATTTCAATGATGACTTGCACAGGAAAAAATAATACATACTGAATTAAGTCATTTTTAGGATATACTATGTGTTGTTTAAAAAAAATTACACTGCTTTATAAAGTCCTGTGACCATTAAGTTACATGCTGCCATGTGCAAATATTTGACTAAATAAATTTGCTGCAGGCTGAAAGTTTTATTTTTATTTCAATCTCATAATGGGTTTCCAATGGGGCTGCAACTAACTTTTATTTTTACTAGTCCAAGGTTCGATTTTCAATGTTTTTTAGTTGTACAGCTCTGAACTAAAAAAAAAATCAGTTTACTTCAAGAGAACACAAAGAAAAGTCGCAAATTGTCTCTTTTGAGAAGCTAAACTAATTAAATATTTGGATTTATTTTCTTCAACAATAACGCAAACGGTCATTATTACCAAAAGAAGACATGCTGATCGATGAGTTTCCACTTTCAGCGTTTGTCTCCATATTTCCATCTCCCCATGTGGTCTTTTGTTTGATGTGTGACAACATGGTTGCTCTGCATGCCTGACAGCAGGGAGGCTTTGGACACCAGGATCAGGATTAGGCTGCTTTAACTGGAGCTGGTGGTCCCTCCGGATCCGGGCTTACACAGATCAGGCCTGTTACGCTCCGTGTGTTCAAAGGGTCCTCCGTCATAACAGTCAGCTTCTTCTTCTTCTTCTTCTACATCAGCCACAGCTCAAAAGAGGAGATCTTGGTGAAAGCGGGAGTGGCAGCCCGCTGTGCGGTTTATGGAACATATCGATACGCTTATTGATCAGCTGTTTGTCCCCGAACTCGATGGCGGGGGGGGTCAATCCCGGCAGCCGGTGCATGTCTGCAGCCAGCCGGGGACAACAACAAAAAAAGGCCGAAGTGAATGAAAACATGCGCATGTGCGCAATGCACTCGGTAAATTGACACGAATCGACACCTTCAATGGCGTGATTAGGGGGCACAGCTGGATCACGGGGGGGTAGGGCGCCAGCACTGACCTGACTACGGGTCCGAGCTGCAGGATGTGCAGCAGCAGGACGAGCGGCCGGTCCCTGCTCAGGTCCCGGTGGATGAAGGTGAGGGTCAGCTGCACCAGCACGGACGGCACGAGCGTGAAGAGGAGCGTGAGACCCTGCCAGATCTGGTCCCCGGCGGAGCGGTACGTGGAGCTGAGGTAGAGCGCCGCCGTGGTCTCGGCCGTGAACAGAGACACCGACACAAAGATGGAACTGGGGAGGCGCATCCTCGCTCACTCCGCCATTCGGGTCCGGGCGTCCATACGGCCGCCACCGGGGAGTCGGTCAGCCCGCCCTGCCGGAAGGGACGGCGTTGTTACGGTTCCCCCGCTGCCGCTGCGGCTCATTTGCGATGTCTTTAGTGCGGCCAGGGTGTGTGTGTGTGTGTGTGTGTGTGTGTGTGTGTGTTTTTCTCACGGAGAAGTGTTGTCCCGGATGGAGTCTGTGGAGGGCGCACGGGGCGCTGCGGTCTCCGTAGTGCGCCGTGTGCTCGCGAGACCCCCTGCTGTGGGGTCTGGAGATGTTCCGCCCCCCCGAAATGGGGGCATGGTTTATATTTGGCTAGATGTGAGGCTAGTCTCCCTATATTGTGGATACATGAATAGAGTATAGTGTGCTTTTCTGATCCCGTTCACACAATTTGAATGGAAATATAAAAAGATAAAAAGAGGAAGGACATCAAGAAATTGTTGGGAAAACTTAAATAATCGTTTGAGTGCGTGAACAGAAGGTCTGTGACCTTTTAAACTGGGACATGGTGGACACATCCTGTATTAAACAGAACAGCACTTCAGTATTAATATTCAATATCACACAAATCTACTGAGTCAATGTACCTTAGGATTTATTTGAGATCTGATTAACATAATTATGGCTATTATTATTTTTTTAATTTCACGACGTGGGGGTTGCATTAATGTTTCAATAGAATGTCTTGTATCATGTATTAGTTCCCACACTTGTGCTGCTTTTTATGTTGGTCAGCAATACGTTTTTCTTTGTCTTACCCAAGATGAGATGATGTTTTCTTCTTCTTTCTGCTGTGTCAAATCACTAAGTTGAGCAATAAAACATATAGATCACAATACAATACAGTAACGTAAGAGTATCGTCAGAGATTCAATGATATATGTTTTTAAAGATCACACTATAGTCACTCATGTGAGGCTGTGAACGCAGTTCAATTCAATGATGTTACGTTGAAAACAAAATCCCTTTTGTTCTGTTTATCTGGAAACTTTATTTATAACAATAACCCCTTTATGGTTTGTTGTTGGCAGCTCGGATTGCAGCACACGGACAAACACAGCTCAGAAATGCTTGGAAAGCATTCGGAAACTATTTCGTTGTCATTCAAAAACTTTTTTTGCCGTCTCGAACCGTGAGGATGTCCAAACACTGCCTGAAGCATTTTCAGTTTCCAAGTCATCATATATCATGATCATCATCATATCCAAGCGATAGAAATGAGTTTTTGTGGGGTTTATCATATTTGTGTGCTTTGAACTAAAAATGACATTCTTAAACTGACACAATTTGTTCATAGTCTCACAAGACTGCAGTCTCACAAACTTTGTTTACTTGAAAATTAGCCAAAAGTCTAAACAAACGAAATGTGTTGAACAATTAAAATTCACCCCGATCACAGTTTCCATCTCGGTTCTTTGTGCTTCTTCTTCAGTCCAGCTCTTGGGGTCTAGCGCGAGGGGAGCGAGTGTGTCTTTTAAGGTCAGTGAACAAAGCAGCAGTAAGCCAGGCTCCACTCCCGCAAAGACACTAAACAGAGAGGACCCCGGTCTGCTCGGCTGCAGGAGTCGGACCAGAAAACCAAACTGTCCCCAACAGGCCTTCAAACAGATCGTGGCCATTCATCACCGAGCAGGGGCCGGTTTTTAACTTCTCCACTAGGAGAAACACACAGTCAGTCTTTGTTGAAATACTTTAGTTTAAAAACTTATGTGGGTGCAGGAGGTTACTCAAGTCGAGGGATCACATAAGTCATTAGAATTCATGTCGTGTTAGTTAAACTATGCTGTCCCCAGAGCCACAGTTAGTGTTGGGAGGGTTTCACTGGTTTGTGTTTGACCTCATGACCTCAGTTTTTCTAAAACTCAGACTATAGCCGTGTAGCAAACAATGGTCTTTGAACGTGGCACGTTTCTTTCTAGCTATCTGTGTCACTATAAGAATAAATCATTTATCCAGGGAAACCAAACAATGAACTCATTCATATTCTTGCAGTTGAGCATCTTGTCCACCAGGTGGCGAAAGACGCCACAGTCTGCTCTCCTTGGTGCTGAAGGAAAGGTCAAAAATGGTCCAGTTCATCATCACCGTTGAAATATACATGCAGCAGTATGTACATACTTGTACTTGTAAATATGAATGACAAGGTAGTGCAAGTTGTGCAAATATGGCATAATTGAAGAGCAGAATGTTCAGTGGCATGGGGCTAACGCCCCATTCGGCACCGGTACGATGGAGGTGGTTTTAAAGCAGGTGACAGGCTAAAGATGTCCGTCAGGACCGCAGTCAGCTGCACTGCACAGTTCCTGAGCACGTGCCCGGGGACGCCATCAGGGCCAGCGGCCTGGAGCCGCTCTTGAAGTGCCGCTCCATCCTAAGCTCGTGGCTGTGCTTGGCCTTTTTGATGCCCCACCTCAGGTCAGCCCTGGATGAGCCGTAGGCCTGAGCATCACCTGATCTGAAAGCAATGTCACGTGCCTTCAGCAGCAGGCGAACCTCTCCAGGGTTCATCCAGGGTTAGAGTTGTCTTCTGGTCGGGGAATGTGGAGATCCTTTTGAGGGTGGTGACAGCGTGGACATTGGTGTTATATAGTCCAGAACAGAGGAGGCAGAGGCGTTGATGTCTGAGTGGAGTCCAGTGTGGCCTCGGTGACAAACACACTCCAGTCTGTGTGTTCAAACCGGAGGTGTGGGGCAGAGTCTGCTCCCTCCGGCCTTACGTTAACTGTCCTCACAGTGGGTTTCACACGTCTGATGAGAGGTGTGTATTTGGGGAGAAGGAACATTGAGAGGGGGTCAGACTGTCCCTGGTGGGGGGGGGGAGCAGCTTTGTAAGCGTCCGTCATGTTGGTGTAAACGTGATACAGTATTTGTTAAACAAATACACAATAACATATCTTTATGTGGAATTCTATATGGTTGTGATTTACCTTAACTTATATAATAATATAACATTATCTGGAGTACTGCAGTCTACTCGAGTGCACATTTAAGTTTGTCATACTGTCATAATTTAGACTTCACTACATTTATCTCACACCTGAATTTAATTTGCAGATAACAATGAAACATTTAAAAAGAAACACATTATTCATTTTTGAAATAAAACACATTGTTAAAAATTAAACCACTTGTGAGCAATTTTGCCTCTGATTTCACTTGAAATGGGTTAACCGTGTATCCCTTAAACTTTAAAAAGTCCTGCTGATAGATTGATCACCATGAAACATGCAATAATGTCCAAATAATACTAATGTATCAGACACAAGGTACATTTTCTGTAATACTTTGTATTTGATGCTGCTTTTGGGGTTTTTAAACTAAAATAAATATGCAGGCATCTAATTTATTGTCTCAGAAAAATGATTCAAGCCCTTCTTAGATGTGACAAGTTTACATGGTGATTTCTTTATTTGAATATATCTATTAACGCATGAACATATGCTATTTAATCAATAGCATCAACATAAAATGGTTTAATAGTTTCACTTATGAGATTTGTTTAGGTTAAAGCGTGCATGTGTCAACTCAAATTAATTCATTAATGAGGACTACCCTTTGCGCAAGCGCCACATTCTGCGCTTTTAGCGCCGTTCTGCCTTTTTTGCGGACTGAAATTGGCTGCAACATCATTTTTTCCGGCTTGGGTGGAAATCCGTTATTTGGTAAGTAAGGTTAACTGTTTTTTTGTTATGTTGTTAAATAACGCTTGCACACAAGTTGTGTAGTAGTAGTCGCGCGCTCTGTGTTCGAAAAGCGCCTGGTGACGCGTGCGGAATATGTCAGAGGGACGAGCGCACATAATTAGGAGAAAATCCGGTCAATTTTCTAAATAAAACATTTTTCAGAAAAAAAAAATATATAAGCTTTTTGTGGTGCGGCCCGGTGGTTGGGGACCACCGGTCTACAGGTCTAGAAGGAATTGAGTGGAGTACTTTGATTTCTTCTACTGTGGTAGAAATGTAACTACAGGCATTAGGCGCCAGGCCTATAGGCTACCAGGCATAGCGCAGCCTGAAAAACATAGAAATAGAAGTGTTGGGTGTGCACCCTTTTTTCAAACTTGCGTTTGGGAAAACCGGACGACCGGACGAAACCCTGTCAATGTGCGTGTTGGGTATGCACCTTTTTTTCAAACTTGCGTTTGGGAAAACCGGACGACCGGACAAAACCCTGTGACGAAACCCTATTTTCCTTTCTTTTGTTTCTTCAGTTCCGCCTTTTCTCTTTTCTCCTTTTCTTCCCTCTCTTTCTTCTGCCTCTTCAGCAGGTCATTTTCTGCCTCCTGACGTTCCTTCATTTGCTTCTTCAGCATCTTTTCTTTCTCCTTCTCTAACTTCTTCTCCTCCTTTCTCATCTGCGCCTTTTCCTTGTCAGTTTTTTGGGCGAACGCCTGAAGGTGGAGGTTCCAAACATGGAGGTTATCTTTCTGTTGTGTCAGGAGCCTGATATTTTCCTCCAATTGGTTCACTTTGAGACGCAACTCCTTTTCCATCTCTCTGCTCAGTCTGGCACTCTCCTGCCCTCTCTGGAAGTGCTCCTCCTGTAGTGCATGGAAGGTGTGGCTGTGTTGATCCAGAGTCGCAGATTTGATTTTACGCTCTGCCTCGCTGCGGATGATCTCGATTTCTTTCTCCTTCATCTCCAAGGCGAATTTGATATCAGTAATCTCCTTCTCCGAGGCCTCCTTACTGAGTCTCTGCAAGTCAAGTCCCCTGGCCTCCTTTGCGGAAAACTCACGTCTCATTTGATCTTCCAGAGCCATGAGTTTTATTTTCCACTCGGCCTCCACCAGGATCATCTCGCTTTCTTGCCGTTTCTGCTTGGCCTCGCTCCAGTTCTGTTCTTCAAGAGATTTCTTTTCACTGGTTGTGTTAGTGATTAGATTGTCCTTTTCCAGGGTGATCTGGCTTTTCTGTCTGTCAAAGTCGTCTTGCAGAGTTTGGATCCTTGCAGAATGCTCCTCCTCTCTTACAAGCCATCGTTTTTTCCACGCGGAGTCCAAGTTAACAATATCAACTTTGTTCATGGAACATTTGATATTATTCTCTTTAATCCAGTTCTCTTTGTACTTCTCATTCTGCGCTATCAAGGACTCAATGGCACTGTTGAATTTATTTTTCTCTTCAAGCAGAGTTTGACAAAGAGAGCTGGTCAGTTCCTCCTTCTCTTTCTCAAAGGCTTTCCTGTCAGCCTCTGCTTGTTTTGTGATGGATCTCTCTGACTGTAGAGCCTTCATTATTTTGGCCTTTTCCTGCTCCCAACTGACCTCCTTGGTGACCATCTGCTCCTTCAAGACAGTGTTTTCCAAGTAGAGCTCGCTGGCTTGTTTTTCGATGACCGATATGGTTTTTAACAAGCCCTCAGGCTCTCTGCTGGGACTTTGCTGGTCCAGCACTGGTGGGGCTAGGCAGCCCTTGTTTGCAGGTCCACTAGGAGGGCTGACCCCCTGTTCCATCCTCTTCTCAAGGGCCTTCTTTTCAGCCAGTATTTGTTTCCTGATGCATCTCTCTGCACGTAAAGCCTTCATTATTTTAGCTTTTTCCTGCTCCCAACCGAGCTCCTTGATTGCAAATTGCTTCTTCAAATCAGCATTTGCTGATGCCAGCTCAACTTCTTGTTGGACGTCCAAAAGGATTTTTTTCGGGTCCTGCATTCTAACAAAGTGGTAGTATTCGATAATGATAGAATAACAACGTTTCTGTGAATTTGTGTCTTTGTATGAGTAGCTGTCCCTCTGTTCTCACAAGCTGTGTCCCTGGGTGGCTGTCAGATACAAGTGGCAGTTAGAACTGAATTCTAACCAAACATTCTATTTCTAGATTCCAGACTGGTGTCACTGAATGTCATATCTTAGATGAAAGGGTTAGAATGCGATGATGTCGTGGACCGTGATGTCAGAATGAGGTCACACAGGAATGTACAGGCTCAATTACCGATGTTGTTGTGGCTGCAGGGAATCACTTATTGCCGTCTATTGATCACATTCTAATTTGTACTTTTTACACAAGGAGCCTACTGTACAACTTTATTTTACAGTAACACGATCTATACTTACAAAACACATACAAAACACAAAACAATCTCATAAAATAAAACATTATGCATCACTCTCTTTAAAATTACTAAACACATGAGTATTCAGAAGTATCACAGTTAGCAGATAACACACCGCTCTACAGCTTTATTCGTTTCCAAGATGATTAAAATGGTTTTCTGAGAGAAGTTTGTGCCACATTTTAAATTGAAATAAGTTTTTTATCAATTCTAGAGATAAAAAGCGGATGAATGCCAAGCAAAGGTCATTATGAATTACCATTGGAAAAGACGGAAGGTGCATTCATATTGAAGAAAGAATTTTCTATTTTTTTATTTTCTATTTTTTCTAAATGGAAGGACACGGATGATGGAGAGAGCTGCGGTGTCGAGGAGGTCGACTCTTCATCACAGGAGAACATGCATTCAGAGATCTGAAATATATAGTTTGGTTCAAGGCGGTTGATACATAATACTGGAATTATCCGGCAGTGGAATAAGCAGCAGCTTTCAGAGTGTGTTCTTGGTAACGAGGTCACATGAAAGTCTGTATCGAGTCCAAGCAGCATTTGTACTTTGAAGGCCGTTTTTCTCAGAAGTTCCACTTTTATTTTTTGGTGGGGGGGGGACACTTTTAAGAACTACCAGCCATTTTGTTCTTTGAAATCAAATTTGGCAACAAAAGACTCTGGAAAATTGGTTTAAGTCATGTTTGGAGAAGCATATTTTCATCTCTGTTATCTAATGCTTTGATACGGAAAAACTGAATTAGCATTTATATTAGAAAATGATTTTGAGCCTAATTGGCATCTGCGCAAACAACAAATAAGGACCTTTAACAAAGTATCGATTTTTGACATTTTGAACACAAAAAACACACATTTTGACCTTTTAAGAGACCTCTGAAGGTCACTAATATGATGGTGGTGCTTTTACTCTTTCACTTTATTTACCGATTATCTATTTTAAAATGTTTTACAATGACAAACACAAAATATGTAATAATATACATCGTTGTAAAGAATTACACAAATGTAACTGACGCAGAAGGACAACAGTAATCAGGGGCCGTCACCCCCACTCGCCCTAAACAGCAAACAATCGATTTGCAGGGGACATCAGCGGCCTGAGGAATGTGTTTATGTGGATTGACATTGTTTTTACACAAAGAATGATGAGACTTATATAGTGAATACTGTTGTGAGAACAGCGACCACCTGAAGATGTCCTCTTCCAATGCAACTGTCTCTAAAAACAAGATCATATTTTACTGTAATGGGCCCTTTGATAATTTACAAATCCAGCATACCTCTTTTCAGCCACTTCCACTGATGCACACTGTGATACCTCCCAATCACATCCAGGGAAATCCTGGTGTAACTCCGGACTCTGCAGAACATTTGTGAAAATCTGTACCACTCGCCCCCCCCCTCCACACTGCTATTGATCTGTCGCGCGCAAAATGCCGCGCGCCGCAGCGGGAGGTCCCATCGCTTATAAAGTCGCTGCAGGACGCAGCGGGCTCTCCTGGTGAAACCACCCCGTCCCTCCCTGCCGAACCTCGCCCTCGTTATGAGCCCGGAGGACAGCGCGGCTCCGGTCCTCAACGTGTCCACAGAGGAGCCTCGGCACTACAACATCTGGCTCCCCGGCATCCCGGTCGCCGCCGTCTACGGGATCGTCATCGTCGTGGGTCTGGTGGGGAACGTCACGCTGATGAGGACGTGTCTGACGGTGAAGTCCATGCGGACGGTGCCCAACTTGTTCCTGTCCAGTCTGGCTCTGGGGGACGTGCTGCTGCTGGTCACCTGCGCCCCGGTGGACGCGAGCCGCTACCTGGTGGACGAGTGGCTGTTCGGCCGCGTGGGGTGCAAGTTGATCCCGTTCATCCAGCTCACCTCGGTGGGAGTCTCCGTGTTCACCCTCACTGCGCTCTCCGCGGACCGGTAGGCTCCACTTACGCGTCTGGGCATGTTTTTAGAAATAAGTACTTAAATACTTATCTTCTGGTTTGTTTAGATGAGCCTCTGTTGTTTAAAACAATGCATCAACGTGGTGGGTGGAAAACATCCTCATGTTCTCTCTTCACTTTCAACCTCAAAGTCGAAAACTGACTGATTTCACCATTTCTATTCAGTTGGGGAATTTACAGACTACGTTTTGAGTACATTTCAGTAATTTCTTTTAAAATGTATATCACAAAACAGAAAGTTGACAAAAACAGACAAATGTTTTTCCTTATTGAATAAGTCCCCCTGTGACTGTTTTCTCAAGCCGCAGCCCCCAGAAACATATTTATTTTGCCCCCTGTTGATATTGTGATAAATGCTAATTGGCCTCACGGCATTTCGAATTTATAAAAATAATGAAGACAGGCAAATTTCCTTGTATTAGACATTTAAAAAAATAACCGTTTTACAACATTTTCTTTTTCTTGTTTGTACAGTTGGACAAACAAGATCGTACAAACAATAAATCTTGTTTGTACGATTGTACGCTTTTTAAAGTTATATCACAAATTTCTTTCCAGTTCGAATGATTATTTCATTTAAGCTCTCATTTAAGAGTGTCCCAACTGTTCCAGGGAGGAAAATGCGTACATTTAACAATATTGTGCCTTTTACATTTTGGTTTAGATGCTGCTCCTTCTCATACAGAATGCATTTTAAAGCAATAAAGGAATATAGATGCATGAGTTTCAGTGTTTTTGTTGTTTTAATCTGTTGGCCGCTGCAAACAGCTCTTAGTGCCTTCACACAAAATGTAATACCTGAGATAAAGAAATCATCCTCCATTACCTGTAACTCATCCGAGCCATTTTTATGTGTATTATATGTATATGTGTTTTTCTATCTCTGACCTACGTCCAGATAAGGTTTCAAAGCTTATCCGTCACAAAAACATTTTTCTTTTCTGCAGTGGCTTTTAAACCCGTGTTTGATGAAGAAATTATAACGAGGTGATCCGTTGAGTTCATCCTGAGAGGATCGGTCTCTCCACACGTCGGGGGGGGGAAAACGGTGTCAGCGATGCTCTTCTGTGTCCAGGTACAAAGCCATCGTCCGACCTTTGGACATCCAGCAGTCCAGCGCTACGCTCGGCTTCTGTCTTCGAGTGGGCGCCATCTGGCTGCTCTCTGTGACTCTGGCCATTCCCGAGGCCGTCTTCTCCGACCTGCACACCTTCACCACCAGCTACAGCAATGAGACGTTTGTGACCTGTGCGCCTTACCCCCACGCCGGGGAGATGCACCCCAAAATCCACTCCACCGCCTCCTTCTTCGTCTTCTACGTCATCCCGCTCCTGGTCATATCTGTCTATTACTTCTTCATCGCTCGCAGTCTGATCAGGAGCTCGGTGGACGTCCCTGCTGAAGGACACCTTCATCTCCAGAAACAGGTCTGATTGCAGGGTCCTTTCAATTTGTTCATCTCATTTACACACCTCTCTCTAAACTATGTATTTACATAGTAAATGATGATGATACAGATCAGACTATCACGATAGATCTTTAGTCATAAACCAACCCTGTAACTATTTAAATGTTAATCTAATTAGGGGGTTAAATGAAAAAAAAGATGACCAATTTGATTTGGATGTTTTTGGAAGACGGATGTTAGCAATCGGTACAATAAGTTGCCGAACAAGCAGCAAACTCAAAGAAGGAACATAATTAAACGTTTCCATTGTTGTAAAATGAGGCGTTTTGCTGGCAGAGAAGACTAATCTGTTGGTGGAAAAGCACCACGAAGGTCCATGAGTGTCTGTTAAATGGTAGAAGCCCGTCTCTTTCCTCTCTCTTCTTTCCTGTCAGATCAAGTCCAGAAAGCGTCTGGCCAAAACCGTGCTGGTCTTTGTGGGTTTGTTTGCCGTCTGCTGGCTGCCGAGTCACGTGATCTACCTGTACCGCTCCTACCACTACGGCCAGGTGGACACCTCGCTGGGCCACTTCGTCGCCAGCGTCTGCGCCCGCGTGCTGGCCTTCGCCAACTCCTGCGTGAACCCCTTCGCCCTCTACCTGATGAGCAAGCGCTTCAGCAAACACTTCAACCAGCAGCTGGCGTGCTGCACTTCTCCCAGACGCCTGTACAGCCAAAGCAGCGGCAGCACAAACATAACCACCGTCTGACGCCATCCGCGCGTTGCACGGACCTGATGGCGGCCCACGCTTCAGCACGTGACCTTGTTTCACGCATGTTTACCTCTGATTTGGGCATTTGAAATGGAAACTGTTGTAATCATTTGGCCTTGAATGTCTTAATAGTTTATTTATCTTTCTGTTTTCATTAGAAAGTCACAACAGAAAAGTGGCCACAAAATGACGAGCTTGATAAAACACAATGTTCAATGTTGTTAACTGCTGCTTCGTAGAAGTGTTGACCTCCTACAAATTGTTTGTCAAATGTTAAATCACTACAATTGTCAAATGTCACATTTTGTACGGAGAGATGGTTCTGTTGAATTATATTTGTGAGTTGATTGTGTGTTGGTTGGCTATTCTTATTTATGGATAAAATAATTTGGTCATTTATATGTTTTTCAATGTGCAATATAGACCACAAGCAGATCTTTTTTGCAATAGTGAGTGAAATATTATTTTTTCACAGTGAAAGGAAAAAGATGAAAGAAGAATATTCACACACTGTGGATATTTTGCATTTTTAGTCATGCGTAGCTGCCGGCCGTCCACATCTCAAAAGCTCTTGGACGTATTGCCATGAGATCTGAAAGCGGTGGATTACTCAAACTGTCATTGATTCATTTTGTGACGACTAATGGTTTAAGCTTGAGTGACGTGGTAGCAGTTTAACAGTGTAGTGTGACAATTACATAAATAACGTGCAATTCACAGAACTGCGGTGTACACTTGTTGTTTTATTATGGTCCTCACTTGGAAAATATTGCTATTTATGTTGAGTTGATCTTTGAGCTGCAACTAAATAAAAAGTGATCTGAATGGATGTGAAACCCAGATGAGATTCTGTCTCCGTACTGCATTTCTCTCTACAGTGAGACACTGCTGCACATCTGACCTTTAAACACGGAGCAACGCGTGAAGTGAATGAAGCTCAATACTGAGGCATTATATCCTTTGAACCATGAATATAATGTCGTAGTAAATTCCCTTTGTATTGAATCTATAACCTACAAACTCGCTGTGAACTGTGGCGTCAAAGCAAATGTCGACATTCATGTTGCTTAACCCAGAGGGCCCTCTGTTTTCAACACGGTCAGAGGCGGCTCTGTAGATGAAAGAGTTGGTCACAGGTAGAGCATGTGTGCGCTGACTCTAAAGAGGAGCACGCAGAATCACAACATACAGTGGATCCCGCTTTCAAAATCTGCTGCTGAAGGCCGAGGCTTTTCTTCGCTGTTTGGATGAAGGCACGTCAAGTTAAATCAGATCAAATACGATTTTCTCAGGGCTTCGTGGAGGTGACCTTTCAGGGTGACATTTGAAGACCGGAAATTAATTTCCCTTCAGCGGTGCCGCCTTCAAAACCCAGTCCATCGCTCAGTTCATCAGATCCCCTTTTTGTTTCCCTGCTGCTTTCAACATGTCACATGTACTGTGCTTGAGTCTGCCTCCTCCTTCAATGTCTCAGATTTGACAGCGCGTCTCAATCTGGGAAAATCCCTGACAGGTCTTCTTTTCTTTTTTTTTAAATCTATTTTGAAAGTCAGAAAACCGATGGTATAAAAGACTGTGGTCCTTGAAGACAATTCCGCGAGTTAAGGTTGGTCGATAAGGATACTGACAGAATGTGGGGAGAGAGGATCCTCACTTTGGTAGATTTTATTGTATCGCAGCATATCTTTAAGGAGGATATCTACAGAAAGTTCTCAAATGACTGCAGATGTACTACATTAGGGATTCCAAATGACTATTTATAAACCACAATATCAACACTCAAGGCAACTGCACACAAATTAGACAGCGTCCCACAGACCAATTACGGAATTAGGAGCCAATTACAGATAAAACAGTAAAACACTCACAACTAAATGAAAACGCAGCTCCTATTGAGTGCATTCACGTAATAACAGAGGCACAGTGTGCAGAGCAGTGCAACTGTAGTGAGTCCACGACCTCAGGCAGAATACAAGATTACAATCATACTTATTAGAAAATACAGCACTTAAGTGGATACAGACATTTACACTTCTTCCTCACTTCCTCTCCACGCGAGGAGTCGGGGTGATTAGAAAGCGCGTCATTACAAGTATAAAATGCAGAAACCTGATACATCACAGTTCCGGCTATATGAACGTTTCTGAACAATGCTTTTATCGAAGTCACGTTCTCTCGGGTTAAACACATTCGTTCCACTTGGGAATGAGGGAAAAGGCACAAAGGGGCCGGAGGAGACACAGAGAGCCCCAGTAGCAGAGAAGGCTCATTTGTAGAGGAGAAAGTCCTTCATGCTGTGAGGGAGGAAGAGGCCAGTGGCTCTGTGGAGGCGACTTCTTCCCAGACTTCGGCGAATACACAACCGGCCGAGCTGACACAGAGAGCGGGGACCTGTGCGGGGATTTTAAAAAAGAAAACAGACCAATGAAGTGTTGTAATGCCGCAAACTAAATAAAACGGGTTCATGTACTCGCATGAACAGCAAGGCCACACCTTTTTTCTGTAGTGCATTTCTCACTGCGCTGTTTGGGGGGGAAAGATCCAGGGGAGTCTTTCCCTCCGAGTTCCTACAACACTCATCAGCCCCGAAGTCCAGCAGGAGATCCACAACGTCGGCTCCTCCTGCTTGGACCGCCGCGTGCAGAGGTGTGTCCTGCCCACACCCGATCCCAACATCCGCTCCTACAGGTGTACACACACACACACACACGCAGGGACGGTCAATCCGTACCCCTGACAGTACAGATAGTCCTTGTTCCATGTGCTCCGTAGGTAAACCACACATTCACACGTCATGAACCTTTGTCTGCTTTCCCATGTTTCATGGCGACAGTGTATTTCGACCGCTGTCGGTAAAACAAATTGCCCCTTGAGGAAATGAAAGGTCTGGAATCTGAATCGGACTCTAACGGAGACAAAACTGACAAATGATCTGATTTAGGGGAAGCATTTTTTCTATATGTTGTAACAAAGACGCTGAGAAGCTCTCTCATGTTTGAGTTATTGTCTTGTGCTACCATGTTACTTTTTTGTCCTTTTTTATTCAAATTGTGTAAAATTCTTGGTAGAATATAGACTCTTATAGACGCAGACTATAAACAAAGTCCTTCGGGTTAATGTGAGAAAACGGCAATGAAACCAAAACAAGGCAAGGATTTGATGTTTCGTTCACATTTCACTCTTAGAGGAACTAACAGATCGCTGTGACTTTTTCCTGACTGACCTGACTGCAGCAGCAGCCCTGCGCAGGCCGCGGCCCGCGCCATGCAGGCAGAGTACAGCGGCGTCCCCACCACAGGAAACTCCATGTCGATGGGGGCTCCATAGGACAGCAGCAGCTCCACACACTCATTGTGACCTGATGGAGGAACGACATCAGAGTCTGGCCACTGACCGATCCTGTCTTTACACCTAACACATGTTTGCACGCGCACCTTTCTTGGCGGCCTCATGGATGGGGGAGGCCAGCCGGCAGGGGCTGAGGACGGAGGCCCTGTGCTGCAACATGAGCCGGACACAAGCAGCACTGCCGCTGCTGCAGGAGTTGAACAGAGGTGTGGCGCCATCTGTCGATACTGTCTCCACCTACGTGGAGGTAGAGTAGGGTAACGTCTGTCCATCGGTTGCAACAACTAAACGCTAAATGACGGCCATATTCCAAGATGGCAAAGGCAGACATCACTGAAGTACAACGGCAGACATCACTGAAGTACAACGGCAGACATCACTGAAGTACAACGGCAGACATCACTGAAGTACAACGGCAGACATCACTGAAGTACAACGGCAGACATCACTGAAGTACAACGGCAGACATCACTGAAGTACAACGGCAGACATCACTGAAGTACAACGGCAGACATCACTGAAGTACATTTTTCAGATTTTGGCAGCTCAGAAAAGGCCACAAAGTTCCTCACATAACTCATTCAAACCTGTAAATAGTTGTTGAAAGCTCAATGCTATTAATAAATGTGTATTCAGGTCCGAGACAAACTAGTGAAACAAAAAAAGGAGAGTTGTATATATGTTTAAGCTTCCATAGTAAAATTGTTGATGATGAAATTTGTGTTGCGTCAAAAAATGATGACATTTATGATTCTCCAAAATCTGCAGAATAAATAACTGAACTAGATATAATACCCAACTATTTACTTTTGTTCATTCCCAAAATAAACATAGTAAAAGGAAAAGACCAGGAAAAAACAGCAACAACGAAAAACACAATGTTCTTACATTTGCACCATTCTCTAGCAGGAACTTGGCACAAGCGTAGTGGCCTCCGAGGCACGCCTCGTGGAGAGGAGACACTCTGTCCAGGGTGAGCGTGTCTACGTGGAAGCCCTGCAGGGGAGATCGGTGCAGAGAACAGTCAGAAACAACGGTGAATGTGCCGTGCGTCGCGTGCGCTCACCTGGGGAAAACACTACCTGGACGATGAGGCTCCTCAGGTGCAGCAGCCTCCCTTGGTAGGCGGCTTCATGGAGAGGAGTTCTGTCGGACCAGAAGTCTGAGACACAGAGAAGATCAGGAATGTCTCAACATTTAGAAAATAATCGGATGCGCTGAAGGCCCACTGCATCTATCTGTTCATTGTAATGTTAAGATGAGCTTATTTAAATACACGTTCATCCACTTTCTCAGGGTCACTCCAAACCCAAACACACTGAAAACTACAACCATCTGCTGCAGATCGCAGGCAAAAACACTTACATGCAAAGTTTGAGTAAAGAACCAAAGCACTATGAGAACTCTAAATGCACATACATGTAAAGCAAAACCACACTGACTCAAATACTCATTTTGGTATGAAGTAATCCAGTTGCTAATCTCATTTTCTCCAATATCACAACCAAAGTGAGCTGAGAGAGCTTAAAAAGATAAAGAAATAACTCACCAGCCATCAGCGAGTTGCATGCCAACCCCTGGTAGATGTACAAGGGCCTCTGCCAAGGTTGTGGGCAAAGGGAAACCTCTGTCTGAACATCAGCCATAGTGGAAAAGAAACAACAGAAGACTCCTCAAAGACGGTCCAGGACTTCAAGGCTGACACACAAAACCCGACGCCGGCCTTCCTCCCTCTTATCTGGGTCCTTGGCCACTTCCCCCACATTGCCATCTCCCGCCCACCCTCCCCCCAGACCAACGATACAGCCCACATACATAACAATGGATCTTTGGAAGGGCCTGTACTGATGATACAACCTCACCTGAGCACAAAGAAAATGTGCCTAAAACAGGTTCTGACCAGTTTCACTTCAGATATTTGGGTAAAAGAGTAAAAAAGAGTGTGTAATCCAGCTTCTGTTACTTACATACTTTCACCCCCAAAATTATTTTGCCACTTTCCCTAGAAAAAGGCTCAGCACAAAGGAATCTCACACAGTTTTGATGACTTTTTACGTTATTTGTTTTAGATCTCTCCACGTGAAGCGACGTGGTTTCCAAGTTTCTTTCGCAATCACAACACAACGCAAATCTCCGTCAGTGGCTTTTAAGAGCCATGCCACCTGGTCTCTTTCCTACGGTTTCACAAATTTGTGTTTTATCCAGCACTCTTCATTCCACAGAGCAGTATCACTTATCACAAGATTCCGAGAAGGATGAAACTGTGTGGACAATCTCAATAAGACATACATGAATCATTAGAAAGTAGTGTTTATTTCCCAGTCTGAGAACAGCTGTGTTTAATAAATATGAAATTCTTAAATGATTAAAGGAGTGTTGATCATTTTAAAATCATACAAATAAACTCATTTGGCCATATCTATATACAGCTTTGCATAAACAGTGAATCTTTCCCACAAAAACACTGATTTATATAAAAGTATGCATCAAACCGAAGCCCGTTTATTGCTATCATGTTTCCGAGTAACAATAAAATCAAGCAGCCCTTTAATCCGTCTGGTCAGTTCAATTTATACCAAGTGTAATAAAAAGAAAAAGCTTATTGAAGCTCCCAGGAGTGGCACAGAATTCCATTTGAATGGTTTAAATATAAAAATAGCTAATTCAAAGTCTTGCTTTCACAAGAGGTCCCTTTTGATAAGTAAATGTAAACAATGTCCAGAGTTACCAGGAGCACATTCAGTATCCAGCCATGTTTATAAGTTGCCACCACAAAGAGAACACATGACTTCACGACTTATGGAGCGATCGCATCGTCGACATTCTTGGTTCTGCCGCTTGCTCCCACGGCATTTTTCGAATGAGCTCCGACTTCACCGGGCGGTTCGCGCCTCCACAGGCCGTGGCGGCCGGTAGCGTCCACGGCGACGTCCATGACCCGGTCCGGCACCCACCACTGCAGCAGCAGCAGGAATAGAAAGTCCAAAACGGCCACGAATGCAAAGATGGAGCCGGCCACGGGGCCACAGCGGGCCCTCAGTCTCCGCACGCGTCGGTCCAGAGGAAGCACCTCCTCTCCGGCTATGCGGTCGTACACCTTCGGAGGAACGCAGGACACAGAGGTCAATGGGAAGCCCCCGGCTGGGTGAACACTCATTTACATGCACAGAAAAAAACTGATTACAGTTGTAAAGGATGTTTACTGCTGTAACCCGGGACCTCCTTCTTACTGCAACTGCATTAGTAATACAAGATGCAGCTGCTTGATGACTTTAGCGTGTATTGTCAAAATAGTCCAGTGTTTCTCTACGGAACAGATTCATTTAGAATGTGCTTTGTGTCAGCTTCAGTTTTTTTTTGTTTCATGTCCATTTTAAACTTACAAATACGAATATCAGTATTTGTTAAGACGGCAAACAAAGACAAGAGTGATTGTTTTATTGAACACAACATTTGAGACATATGATTTAAGATGACTTTAAACCAGTTGCTTACATCCTACCCTTTAATCAAACATCTGATCAAACACCCCGAAACTAAAGCTTCAGCAGTAGCTCGCATTGTTTTGTAAAATAATTAAAGCTGAAAGAAGAAGGCGGGAAGAACATGCAAAAGAACGAAGAGAAGGCAATTGAAAGGAACAGCAGGTTTCGGCAATAGAGAATTTACCTTCTCGGTCCTCTCGGCAACGTTTCTCCAGGTGTAGAGCTTTTGCACACGAGCGTGGATGGAGGCGGGGGAGGGGACCGTCCCTGAGCGCTGCCGGGCAATGACCGTCTCCAGACCGTCACATAAGCCCCGCACAGAAGCCTCACACATGGTAATCAGCTCCTCAGGCAGCACCTCCGGAATGCCCCCTACACGAGTGCTAACCACCTGAACAATAAAACAACAACTCAATGTAGACACACATAAATAAGACGTGCGTTAATGTGTGTTTCCTACTCAACTTTGCTGGCACCATCAGTCCGTGGTGGACTTTTAATTAATTCTATGTCAGTATTGGATAATGGGCACTATTAGCTGAATGGAAAACCTATTTTAAGTGGTGCAATGAGATGGGGTTGAGCAGCCTCCTGCATGCACACACCCACAGGAAATCTGTGGCAAGAACACTTCAACATCCTATTCAGATGAAAGGGGCAGTTTCTGTAAAACTGGTTGGTTTGAAATTAGGAAATAGTCTTTTGTTGTCTTTTGTTACCATTTTGTAGCCATTAAATAGTTGAACGTGTTATTTACAAAGAAATCGGAGGTTGATCACAGTTTGTATCGCGAAATATAGTGAAATCAAAAGTTAAGGACAAAATAATAAAGGGTTAAAGTTGTTGAAAGTAAAATGTAAAAATGCTGCTATAGGAAACATTGCCTCTAATGTTCAAAAGTGTCAAGATTATCACATCCATCTAACACTGCGCGGCCATCAATTTACTTCTCTCCAGCAGAGGGTGCTACCACTAAAACCTCCGGGTTGCCTTGTAATTTAACTCCTTGAACTATTGTGTGAATGCCAACACACCTGCAGTCCACAGCTGGCTCCCTCCACAATGGCCATGCAGAACGCTTCGGTGAGAGACGTGTTGAGGAAGATGTGACCCTGCACCAGAACTCCACGAACATCTTTATGCTCCAACGCCCCGAGCAGACGGACCCTGAGAGGAACCAATTCAAAGAGGAGCACAAATAAAACAGTAGGTAAAATGCCCTGTGAACGGGGAAACTGGCTTATCTGGTTGGGAAAGTGGTAAAAAATAATTCCAAATACACCATTTTTAATCAGAACTCAAGATGGAAGTAGTTGAAGAGAGGAAGACTTGGCTTCCTTCTCTTCTATGTTGAGAGTTGCACTACAAGTGATGAAGATGGGCTGAAGTGCCACTGAGCATTTCAATTATCCTGGAAACAGGAGTTTAGGAGGAGGAGTTAGAGTATGTGGGGGAAGAGTCCTGATTCACTTACTTATAAGGGAAAAATAACAATTTACTATAGCTACAATTATTTCTGAACATTATATCTAACTATAAAGCAAGGCCGAGTGCCGTTTGTGTGTTTTACTTTCCACTTCTTCGCTGCACTGCTGCTCGTGGTTAAACTTTACGTTTTCAACTGTAAATGCAAAAATCAAGATGATCATTTTCGCTCCTTGATTCTACAGCCACAGGCGAGATGTACTCTTACAAGCCATGTCCACTTGCATCTAGATCATTTTCCCCTCTAGATCATACACTCCCACTTCTCTGGGGTCAACAAGCGATAAGCAGTTGGCTATTACAGAGAGAAAGTCCCAAAAAAGGTTTTAGTGGTACCCCTAAAAAGCATTCATCCAGCAGCACCTGTCGTGTAGTTGGTATTTCTCCCTCACTTCCTCCAGCACGAGTCTTTTCGGCCCTTCTCCACCAATTAGAAAGTGCAGATCCGGATGCTTAAGGCAGAGCTCCGGGATTATTCCACCAAGAAGATCGATTCCTTAAGAGGAAGAAAATATGAACAGTTGTTTAGACGATGATGATGCAATACATACTTAAAGCTGATTACAGCATGACTGATGCTGAATGTACTGTATATGTTGCTGATACTAATAGTAATACCTTTGCGGTACACAAGGCGGCTGACCACAACAATGGTGATCCTGTCGTCATGGCGCTGGGAGGGGTCGGGGGTGAAGTCCGTGGGGTCAACAGCGTTGGGAATAACAGATACTATCTCTGGGTTGAGGGCTGCACGGAGCACCGTGTTCTCCTTACTGGTGTACGACACGCACACAGTGTGGTTGGTGTCGCACAGCGACACGGTCAGAAGCTTGTTGGTCAGCACGGAACTCACATCAGCAAAGCCGAAGAGAGAGTGGTCAGTGAAGACCTGCAAAGGATAACGCGCTTTAGGTTTATCTCCACATATGATTTTGAGACTCGGCACGTAATAAGTTAATTTACCGTGTTAAGGCCCATGGTCTTGGCGTGGAACAGTGCATCATGTCCCATAGCGGAGAACGAGCTGTGAGCGTGCACCACTGTGATGCGCTCCCTTACAAAAACACAGCGCATCAGTGGGAGACTGTGGAAGCAAGTGGTGGCTGTGGACTGGTTGTACATCACCTGCAGGGGGAGGTAGTAGACCTTCAGTCCGTTGGTCAGGTGCCGGACTCCCTTCCTCCTGCCGTAGGCGTGCGTGACAATCACCACCTTGTGTCCATTTTCAATCAAACACTGAGATAGCTGGTAAATGTGACTCTCTACTCCTCCCATATTCGGATAGAAGAAGTCAGACACCATGCAGATGTTGTGCTTCCTGCTGGGCACGGCGGCAGCGTCTTTAGGGGCTCCACAGACTCTCGGGGGGGTTGAAGGGTCATTCACGGCATGGGATCTCCTCCGTTGGCCCATCGTAGACAGCTTGTGTGCACCTCACTGAAATGAGTTTAGTCAATGGTTAGTTTTTAAACAGCAGGAGTCATTTGGGTATTTTTCTTCACAAAAGGTTTCAGTATTCCCCTTTTTCCAAATGTAGCTCGTTTCTGTTAAATGTCATCATAAATTCTATATTTTGGGGTTTCAGCTATTTATTTCGCTTTTGTTCGGGAGTTGTTTGGTTTTCTCTGAGTCGAAGGTGACGGTGACTGGAGGTTATTTGCTTTTATTGAATCTCGACCAACATTGTAAAACTCACACATAATTAGGTTATAAATCTTAACAAACAACAATCTCGCAAATCAGCACAAACCACACTCTTCGGAGATTAACGGTATCTGCTGTAATGTCAACGTTATCTATATATTAGCCAACTCTTCAAAGCTACATTGACGTAACGTGAGTAAATCATCCATTAGCATCAAGCTAACCGGCTGCGTTCACATTTAACCACTTTACAGATATGAAAGCAGGTGGGTTCTCTATATGTGGGAATTGTCTTACCGTGGACAAAATGTCAACCCTGTCGCAGCCTATGAGAATACCCAGAAATCATTTTCAGATTTAGATTCATTTCTCCTCGCGAGCTCTGGGGTAGAAACCAGTTACCCGCCTGTAGCACTTCCTGGTGTGTGACTGCGTCACACGCAATGACGTAATGATTCTCGCATGGGGCTCTCGTGCACATCCCCCGTAGGGCCGTTTGAGGTTTTCATTTGTCATTGTACAGCACGGAGACCCCACGGAATTTGGATTATATTCCTAATTTTCCACATAGGAACGAAAACAAAGAACGAGGACTAGCATAGTATGTGGAGGGCGCAGGCTGAGTTAAGGAGTGCGGGGGAAATATGCTGTTATGAAGTCCACTTCTCTCATTCCGTAGATGTGTTTTGTATTGCAATTTCCCCGTAGCGCTTTGCAGGCTCCTCCTCTGACTCTTCAAGATTGTGGTCTTGCTCTGTACCGCACACACCCCGTGCCAGTTTGTATGTTTTACCATCAAGATTTTGTATATTGCTTCTCTGTAAAAGTTGACGAGAAACTTTGTCTCCATCAAATAAAATTCCGAAAATTATTATTTTAAGTGTTTAATAGATATTCAATACAAACATTTTTAAAAACAAGATATTTTTTATTTACAGATTCGTTTTTTTGTCACATTTGATACATCAGGCAAATTATACAATTTGATGGGAATGGATGGGATGGGAATTTTGCCATCTTAAGTTTTCCTTTAGGATCAATATCATCTCTCTGGTTTACTGAAGTTAAGCAGGAGGTTGTTCTCTGAAGGTTGTTGTTTTTCTGTCGTCTTGTTGGTATTTAATTCAGCGGGAATTGTGAAAACAGAGAGCTCCTCATGTGTGGGTTTGCAGCTGTGTGGGTTCAGCAGGAACAGCAGGGCGCTGAGCACACAACCCTCTGGTGTGGTGTTCGACATTTCCAATTACTGTCTAATTTAACTAATGTCTAGCTTGTTCAGGACAAATCAATTCACAGAAACGAATGACTGAGAGGATGAAAAACTAACTTTTTCAAGGACAAGGCTAATGTGGAAAAAGTCACAAGGACTTAGATTACTGTGGAGCATCATAGAGGAAAATCTCATTTTATAGTCCTTAACCCTGAAGGAAAGATGATCCCGGGAAACATTCATAAAAGCTTCCAAGATGAACATTGTTTTCAAAAACAGCACATTCCGTTTGTGGCATAAAAACAGAATGAAATCACCTTGAAGGAAAGGAAGTATTGGAGAGCTTTTGATGCCAAATTCCTAACAAACCACAGTTTGGTGGGAATGTAAGTCTATGACCATTGGGTTGGACCGTCAGGAGTAGTTTGTTTTGAGCGTCTTTGGTGAACCCTTCTTTTCTGAACCCCTACAAGACATGGAAAGAGAGATCCAGTTACAACAAGAGCAAAAAGGGGTAAGGCTCAACTTTACAGTTGCAATAACAGTAGTGGTTTAACCAGTACAACTCCACAAGTCATCTTTTCATAAAGATCTTTGGTATTATGCCAAAAACTTACTGTACAAGAGGAAAAGAAAAAGTCCAACTACGAACATGATAGGGAAGACTTTTATGAACCTCGTGCTTTCTTCAGTTCCTGAGAGAGAGCAAGAAAGAGAATTACATTAATATAATGCTTTACAAAATTATTGCAAACTACAAAATTATTTGAGGTCACATCATAACCAACACATTTTACAACATCTTGTGTTATGATTGTAAAAAAACTTAAAACGTAAAACATCGTTTTTCAGCAGGAACCTAATGGATTGCCTACTCCGGGTAGGGAATGTGTCCTGACCCCAAGTGAAAGAAACCTCAAGTATCTCAGGGCCTTGTTTTGAAGGGAGTTTGTGAGTTTGGCCGGAGAATCGGAAGGGAGCCGCTGGAAGCGGGAAGGAGCCAGTAGAGGCACGGCCAGCTGGGAAGAGGCGGAGGTGGAGAGATTACATCTCCACACTGGCCTGGGAACGCTTTGGGATTCCAGCTGGTGGAGGTGGCCATGGAAAGGGAAGTTTGGGCCCCCCACGTGACCCGACCCGGATAAGCGGTTAAAGATGAGATGAAAGCGAGACTTAAAATATTGTAATGAATGAGTAATAATGGGCTAAATGTAACTGCAATCCTTTTTTAAATAGATGAAAACAAATAGTTACCAGACGATCGTTGAGGGTTCAGGGTGGTTGAATCGGTTGGTGGTTCAGATTCTGTAAGATTTTGAACCAATTATTTAAATTCATGGGTGCATGAATGAGAGATCAAATGCTGCAAGTATGCATAAGGGATGAATGAGTTACCAGAAACGCTGAGATGTACAAAGGAATAGTGGTAGACCTCGTTGTGAAAACAGCATTTGTATTTCCCCTGGTCCTCCGATGTGACATTGGCAAGGAGAATAGAGCAGTTATTTCCGTTCTCAGACAGAAATGTTTTGGTCCTGCCCGTGTACCTATTTGACGTATTAAGCGGCTCAGTGTCATTCCACTGCCAATTCAATTTTGTGCCATTCTTGCAGGTGCATGGCAGGAGGACGCTGTGTCCTAAGACACCTTTAATAGTCGTCTCATCACCTAGAAGAAGAACAGATGAATTGGGATAAGTTCAGTTTTTAAACATGATTTGCACGTTTAGCCTTGGAAACTTGAGTTGACTGAAATAAATTGAAATAGTGAGTTCAAAAGTAGATGTTTGGTCTTGACAAAAAAAGAGAAAAGTTCACTAAAGTTGACAAAACTATTTCTGTGAACCCAAGATTTTGTAGCCAAATTGACATATTACAGTTATTTTCCTAGTTTGAAGAACCAATGTGGAATTTGACATTCTGGCTTTGCAGCAGTCTCTGTTGGCGCCACATTAAGTGTAAAGCCTTTACACAAAATTGCTCCGAGCTAATATCTTTAACTAAGAGTTTACACAGGGATGAATTATATTAAATAGCAATATTCATCATTGTTTTGAATTGACGACTGAGCATGTACGACTAAGCTTTCTGTAAAAAGTGATCACAAGCGGTTCTCCTTTACTGTACTTAAATTGAATATAACACTGCACATTACGGTTGCCAAGTTAAACTAATACACTCGATCAATAAATACAATGTGAAAGGGGCATTGTGAGCAATTCCTCTTTTGTTACTTAGTTATTTTCTTCTTTCTTGTGTAAAATGAAGAAGTACTAATCTCAAAAATACGATATAGATAACATGTCACTCACAGGGGGCTGTTTTCAAGAATGATTCAGATAACGATGAGAGTTAGAGACATGCCAAGTGCCACACTGCACTCAGGCTTGTTCGTCATGTTTACATTAATGGTAGGAGTCCACACATCTTGTATTGCGGCGGGAGGACCTGCTCCTCCTCAACGCCAGTTTAGGGCAAATAGAAATCTTTTCTTCTATATCTAACAACAAGTACAAAGCGCAATGTTCTTCCTGCTGTTAATCAGATGTTCTTTCAGCCTGCTGGCCGACAGAACTGACCTGTAATCTGACAAATAAATCTACCAGAACGAGAGAAGCTGTTTGGCTGAATTCTTCCAGATGTCCCCAACAGGGCTTCCAATTTTGATCTTGTTCGTTCTTTCAATTTTTACGTGAATTTGTCTTGTTTTAAAAAAAAAAGAATCATATTGCTTTTACATTTACATCTTCATTCTAGAAGAAATAACCTTTTAGTTGTTAAATCAATTTATGACCTCACTCATCACGGCCGTTAATGTGTCTCTCCCTTTAGTTTGAGTAATAACTTCCGGTGTTATCTGTGATTCATGTTAAGCTATATTCAAATACATTACAAGGTGATTATATGAACATGCAATCTATGAATCACTGCAGGTTTCACTGAGGTTACCCGATTGAGTAACTCTGAATCTTTGATGTTAAACACGACAAATAAAGCAGTGTGGTTTACAACCCAAATATATTCACTTTGTCCCAAACACTGTGTGCATACATTTATTTAGATAACAGAAAACAAACCCATATTAGTTCATTAGTGCTTTATGTATTAATACACTCTTTGGCTTTTACTAAACACAGCATTGATACACAAAGGACTTCCATTTCCATGCACTATTCATTATTATTATTATTATTATTATTATTATCTATTTTACTCTTTACTGGAAACACTCAACACTACACAGAAAATTTCAGAGAGTTAAATTGACTGTGAGATTCAATTTGAACTCTAAGCTGGTGTTTATATTGTCCCAATCTTGTCAGTGTTAAATCAACACTCAACAAAGTGTTAACAAGTTGACTCAGAATAAGTGTCAAAAATAAATCTGCCCAAATACAGCGAACACCAGTGAGATGCGCACGAGTGTTTCGTTAGTACCGAGCGTCTCGACAATAGCGAACGTAAGAGTGTCTCCGTTTCATTAGAATGCGTGAGAGTGTCAGTAGTTAAGTCCTAAACGGCCCCTCATAAACTCTGCACTTCAACCCTTTTGCCTAACACCGAAAAATTAACTCTAAGAATTTTGCTGGGTAGAATTATAAAAACAAGCATATCTGATACAATACATTTTCAGACACAGACGAATGGTTTCAATGATGTGAAGACTTACTTGACTCACTTAACACCTTTAACACCATTGACACCATTAACAATCCCAGGAAGGTCCTCATGTTGCGCTCTGCGGGGAAGACTTAACACATCTGGAGGGGTCTGGAGGACTGCGGTCAAATTGGTAGATAACTGTATAAAGAATGTCAATAATCCCGGTCTGTTCCGCAACGCGTGGTTGTCTTGACTGCATTGGAAAGATCCTCCAAAATTGTGGCGGAAATCCCGTGAGCATGGAAGCAAAGCGCACAACTCGGATTCACACGTCCGTCTCCAGTGAGAGAGAGCGAGAAACTAAGTGAGTGAGAGAGAAACTAAGTGAAAGTTCAGCCGCGTTTCCGGAAAGCCAATTTGGAAATTGAGAAATCCACTTTGCCTTCAGGATAATACAACAACAGTAACCACAACGGCATGTGATAGAAAGCCTATGAAGGGATGACAATTTTTAGCACAATATTCAGAATATATTCAGTTATATATATATATATATATATATATATATATATATATATATATATATATATATATATGTATACATACTTGTACAACATTAAGTTATACAACATAATTATTTTCAAACGTATACAAGAATATAGGCGGACCGTGGTGTAAATTCGGCACAATATCAATATAGAACAGATGGAGAGGCTGTGGGTCCCATTATGCGATTAGCTTGGCGTGAAAGCGCGCACACGCAGCCAGACGCGCGCCCGCCCGCCCGCCCCGTCCGATCCGATCCGCACGGCCACCAGCGAGAGCGTAACACGGAGGGACCATCGGAATCGGAACACTGGAACCGCCGCTGCAGTCGACACACGTTATCGCCTGCGTTGACAATTCCAATTTCCAACGGGGGGGACTCGTGAACACACCGAGGGTGTTGGATACCGGGAGGACGGCATGGGGGAGCTTACGGCCTTCTTGCTGTTACTGGTGGCGACCTTGACGCTTTCATCCGAGGTGAGCGACGTACGCGGCGGAGGAAATCCTAGCTGTTCCGTATGGGGGGGGGGAAGAGTCGGTGAGCCGTTCCCTGGTTTCGCTGGTCTGCGGGAGCCACAGCGGCCACCGAACCCACCTCAGCGCCGTCGGTTCCAATCTGAGTAACAACGTTAAAAAAAACTAAAAATAAAAGAATAGATCCGACGCAGATTAACGCGTTCCGCTGGTAACACGGGCCCGTGCGGCTACCGGAGATAACACGGTTACCGGGGGCTCTGCTGAGGCCCGCTCTTTGTCCATCCAGTAACGGGATCAGTAACGGAGTTATTTTTCCCCGTGACAGTTTGGAACATCTGGTTCTTTCAATATGGAAAACGGATGTTGTTGCACAGATTTACTGGTTTATAATTAGCAAACCGCATATTTCCACAGCCGCTTCCCAGGCCTGCCGTTGGATGTCTGATTGACAGCTTCGCCCTGTGGCGTCGGACATGTTTTGACGGGTTCGGGGAGTGGAAGAAAAACACATCTGTTTATTGTTCTGCGACTTGCTGTAATCAATCGATCTGTCGCCAACGTCTATTTAGATAGCTGACGTTGATTCACCAAACCAACGCAGTTGCTACGCTGTGGAGGGCCAAAGCCCAGCGTCCCCTCTCCCAGAGAAGGACACGGATTGGCATGGCAACGCTAGCCGCTCGTTGCTAACCAACGTCGTCGCTCTCTGGTTTGTCCTTTTTCATAATCGTGACCGTTTCAAATAGACAACATCACGACACACCCGCTGGACCTGACAACCGCAGCACTCCAAGCACACATGTTTATAAGTTAAGCCCCCCCAATGCAAATGTTTTTATAATTGTTTTTTATTTTATTTAGCTGTGCTAATTCGCAGTGCTTCTGCGTCGACCTGGCCCACTAACGTTACCGCTGCAGGGTGGCGAGATTGCTGAGGAGAATAGGAAGAAAAAAAACAAGGATGCAGTTTTTTTTTCTTTCTGACACAAGCAAGATGGCGCCTGCAGCTCGCTCCTGGTGCTGTGCAGGGAGAGGGAGACACGCCACGGAGCTTAGGATCAGCTGGAAATGGGACAATCGGGGGTCGACAATGCTTAATGCGAAACGGATGCATGCATCGACTGTCTCGTTACATGCAACATTTAGTGCATGTGTAGTGTTAAGTGCAAATAAGTCAGGGAGGCAATACTCTCAACTAACACTTGTGTGCTGCAGAGAACGATGTGCTTACACAACAACAGGCCGCCCTACAAAAGCTGCTGCAACACTGCACTCCACGGTCTCGTGATTTTTTTTCTTTAAAGACCAGGTTGGACTGGTTGTCTCAGTGTAATATGATACCAGCAAGCATAGAAGCAATTCACTGGAACCATAGCACTTTGCTGGATAAACTTGTTTTCAACAACCGGCGATTAAAGGACTTCAGCTAATGATACGTGAACTTATTACATTACATTCTTCTAGTCGAGGTAGCGTCTGAAGAGGTGGGTCTTTAGATGTGAAGACTCTCTGCTCGTTCCACCATTTTGGAATCAAGAATCATTTATTGCCATAATATGTCAGACATACAAGGAGTTTGACTTGGCGGTTGGTGCTTAACAGCAGACAGTACGACAATGGACACCAAGACAACAGTGCACGAGGAATAAAATAAAATCTAAGGCTATGGGTTAGTAACATAAGGCTATGGGTTAGTTTAAAAATGAAAGAACAAAAGTTAAGGTTAAAAATATTTAGAAATTAAAAATAAAGGGCACCAGCGAACAGAAAGTGACAAGTGAAAGTGACGTGTGCAGTGAGAATGAAAGTGACTGGTTTTGGACAGCAAAGATTCGTGATCTAGTCGAGTGTTTTGCTCTCAGTGAGGGAGGGACGAGCAGTTTTGCAGATGCAGAGCGGAGAGTGCGGGTCGGGATGTCTTGTTTGACCATGTCCTGGATGTAAGCTGGACCCGATCCATTCACAAGGGAAGGAGAGAATTAGTTTGGTGTCATCGGCATAGCTGTGGTAGGAGAAGCCATGCGAGCGAATGACAGCGCCGAGAGAGTTGGTGGGTGCCCGGCAGGTGCGGCCGTCAAGGTAGGGCGAGAGAAGGGAGAGAGCAGAGCCTGAGACACCAAGTTCCTGAAGGGAGGAAATAAGGATCTGGTGGTTTACTGTGTCGAATGCAGCAGAGAGGTCCAGAAGGATGAGGACAGCGGAGAGAGAGGCGGCTCTAGCAGTGTGGAGTTGCTCAGAGACAGCAAGGAGAGCAGTCCCTGTGGAATGGCCTTCCTTGAAGCCTGACTGGTGGGGGTCAAGGAGGTTGTTATGGTGGAGATAGGAGGAGAGTTGGTTAAAGATCGCACGTTCAAGAGTTTTGGACAAAAAGGGAAGAAGATAGACCGGTCTGTAGTTGTTTTCTTTAGGAGAGGGTTAACTCTTGCCTCCTTCTTCCTATTTTAAGCTTGTTGATTCCAACACTAGGAGTGTTCACGGTGCTCAATTAAAAAAAAAGAAAAAGAAATGTCACACTAGAAGTAGAAGAATGAATAACATTGGGCAATGTGCTGATTAGGTGATTATTCTAACTCAAAAGAGGCAAATATAATGTATATATAATATATGATTTGATCTTCAAAACAAAACATATCATGAAGCCATAATTGGTCACTTAAAAGTTTGTCAGCAGATTGAATGTCATTGCGCGGCATCTGTCTAGTTGATAGATGCCCGAACAAGTGAAGGCCCAGAACACAACACATTCAGACTCCTACCAATTATTTCCACCGACAAAGAGGATGGGAAAACAATAAATGCAGACAGCTATCCTACATCCTTTTGGAAAATTTTGGTTGTTGTCCCTTTGCTTTTCCGTCAGCTTGATTTTGAAAAGCTGGTGATGTTCGATGAGTTTCTTTGTTCTTTCCAACAATAGGCAATATTATCTTCTTCAATATAGGAAATGATCAAGACTGGCTAACAAAGGGTAAATGTGCTGCCTTGTGGTTTCGCTCACCAGATTATGGGCTCTTTGGAATGAAATTGAGTATCTTGCTTATGCTTAAAGTGGTAGCAATAATATGCTGCAATATTATAGAGTGATTTAAAGAGGCCTTTCACTACAATTAGCTAATCCCAGTATCAAGACAGGTATGCATGATTGCTAATTCTAATTATACATAAGCTGCATCAGGATATATATATATATATATATATATATATATATATATATATGGCTCAGTTATACTTTATCCAATCTAGAATCATGATCTTCTTTTTTCCTCTCGTCCGTCCAGGTGCCCGCTGATGACTCTGTGGCTTTGCTAACTGAGCCCCAGGTGGCCATGTTCTGCGGGAAGCTCAACATGCACATCAATGTGCAGAGTGGCAAATGGGAGTCTGACCTCTCGGGCACAAAGAGCTGCATCGGCACCAAGGAGGGAATCCTGCAGTACTGCCAAGAGGTAACTAAACTCAGGGAGACTGCCATGTAGAGAGAGAGTTACACAGACGGTAGACAGGAAGACACAGCTTATGTATGTAGAAACACCGCCAAAATCTCTCTTTTCCCCAGGTGTACCCAGAGATGCAGATTACAAATGTTGTGGAGGCCAACCAGCCCGTCAGCATCCAGAACTGGTGCAAGAAAGGCCGCAAACAATGCCGCACTCACACACACATTGTGGTGCCATACCGCTGCCTGGGTAACTGGTTTTGGTGATATAGTTGCACTTCACCGAGCATGTTTTTCTGTACGATTGATAATGGATATACACCCAACCTGTAATGAGCAAAGGAATGTTCATGTTGCAGTTGGAGAGTTTGTGAGCGACGCCCTGCTCGTGCCTGACAAGTGCAAGTTCCTGCACCAGGAGCGCATGGACCAGTGTGAGAGCCATCTGCACTGGCACACTGTGGCCAAAGAGGTGAGACCATCACCGCATTCAATATCACTTCATCCACTTCTACTGGCATCTCGCCTTAACATTAGATCTGCTGCTGTCTTTTTTTGTCTTCTATTCCTATTCTAATCTGGTCTTCTGTTGCACTGGATGATGTCACACTCCTTTATTCGATCCTTCCCCATCTGTTGTTAAACATCCACACAAATTGGATATGATTTTTCATTTCCTTCAGTCACCAAGGAAGACGACTGCCTGTTTTTTTTTAAAACCTCTATTATGATTATAGTTATTATTTCTGGGCTTTTCTCCTCAGCTCCAGTTTACCACAATAAGCTTTCACATCCTCAGCATCACAGCCTTTTGACCTTATTGAATGCTGCGCGGTTTTTATTTCTTTTTTGTATAGTGCTCTAATGATGTCATGATTTTGGCCTTTTTTTGTTAACTTTAGTCCTGTGGAGACCGCTCCATGAATCTCCATGACTACGGGATGCTGTTGCCATGTGGTATTGATCGTTTCCGAGGGGTGGAGTTTGTCTGCTGCCCGGCAGAGGCTGAGCGAGACTCGGACAGCGCGGCGCCAGAAGGGGAGGAGTCAGACGTCTGGTGGGGTGGAGCTG